CCCCCCCCCACACACACACACACACAAGTCTAGTGATTTCCGCAACCAGCACCTCCCGGGCCCCAACATCGAACGTCTGGAGCAGGATAGCGTGAGGGTGGCTTACGAGCCGCGGGCAGCAGGCCAGTGGTTGCTGGGGCGAGGGCACCCGCCAACCTGCTTCCGGCCGCGGCGCGACACCATCATGACGGCACGCAACCGCATACGCGCCGCGCTAGCACAGAACTTTGAACGTCTGAAGCTGTGCATCTTGGATACTTGGCATTAGCGCGGGTTCCGCGCCCATGGGCAGCCGGATGGTGGGATTGGGTGGGGCTTTTTTCTTGGGGGGTTGCGCGGGGGTCTGCGGCAGTGAGTGCGTCTTCCATCACTGCATTGCATTGCATCTGGGATTCTGTGCGGATAGAGCAGGCAGTCTACTCTAGACACAGCTTCATAGGTAGGACCCCTGCTCTAGGTATCCTTTCCTCCATTCTCCTCCTCTCTTTCCCCATCCAGTATCTTCACCAGCTGCAGCTCCCTCACCCGACGAGCTAGCCAGCCACTACGTACCTAGTATCAAAACGAGCACTCCCTAATCGTACTCGAGTACCCTACTCTACATACGTAGTACAGGCGCGGCACGCACGCCGCGGCAAGGACCGTCGCGGCCGCGCCGGCGCCGGCAGAGCCGCAAGCGGGGGCTCCGCGCTCGACGACTATGCCGCGCTGGGCCGGGTGCGCAGCAACGTCGAACGTAGCGGGCTCGTGGCGCCACAGGCGTGCCGGGTTGCCGGGGCTGGCTGGCTGGTGGCCGTGGGCTTTGGGCTTGCAGTGCGCTGGGGGCTGCTGGTGGCTTGGGAATGGAATGTGTTTGTTTGATTGATTGAGCTGGGCTGGGGGCTACTGGGGTGAGGACTGCATTGCGTTGCGTTGGAATGGATTGGGTTGCGTTGGGTTTGGTGTGCTTACTGCTGCCGTGCTTGTATGCTGTGGGCGTGGGGGTGCTGGTTGTGGCGTGGGCGTGGCCCGGCGGGTTGGTAGCGAGGACGCGGTAGGCCGAGGGGAGGTGTATGGATGGGTGGATTGATGGGGTATTTTAGGGTAGGGATTTGGTTTGCTGTGACGCGGAGGGAGGTCCAGAAGGCTGCCGTGTTGGTGCATGGGTTGGTTGATAGGTAGGTGAGCGCATGGAAATGGTAACTGAGTAGTAGAGGGACAGTTGCTCGCTATCTTCACAATGCAGCAGCTTTACTCCTATGACAAGCAGGTGTTGCTGCTTTCTCGTGTCTGAAAACCTCTTATGGTGTGGCTAGTTAATTTGTTCTATTTTACTCCTTGGTCATAAATCCCGCCTGCAGCCGAAAATTTGGCTCAATGCAAGATATATTGCAGGGAAAGAGTGATATATCATGCGTTAGTAATATAAGGGAAACAGTGTGCTCCAGGCCGTGTTTAAGCAGATATTGCCGTACACTAATGCCGGATAAGCGATACCCTGGACCAGAAATTTAGCCTTCATCAGAAATACTTAACCTTACTACGTCCGTTATTCTTCACATGGTGATGGACGACGGAAAACAATATCTCTAAGCATGCAACTAATGCAAGCAAGCCCATTTTTGTGCAGAGTGGCTAATACGCTGGTGACCAAATAAATAGTAATAGTTTACTGGATCATACGCGGTGTCGCTCTTCGAAAGCATAGGCATATCAGTCTGGAATCCTTGATTTTTAAGCCTGCTCATAGTGATGAGCGATACAAAAAGACATATTAGGCGATAAGCTCATTAAAGATATGGTATGGGAAGCAGATATATCTAATCGTGTCATAGAATGGAACTAGAACAATCGAGAAGATACGAGAAGATACGAGAAGATCGAGTACCAAAAACCTTCACTGTATTAGCAAAGATCAACAGAAAGCATTCCAGTCATTAAAAACCCTGTACCAGAAAGCAAGGATGAAGTAACCTTGTTCCAACAGGCCCCACCAACAGCAGCTTATCAAACACCTACAAATTAAGCCTCGACCTATCCAGCAAGGCGTCTAGCTTATTCCAGCTAGCTGCAGACACCCTCCCCCCGGGCCATGCTGTCACCCGTCCTGCAGACGTTTGAAGTTGCGGAACGAGTTGCCGCATCAGGCCGGGCGCAGCGTGGGGGGCGCAGGGCTGTCTACTTAGCTGCATGTAGGGACAGCAGCCAGGGCGGCGAGAACGGCCATGTACTGCGAAGAACATGCAGATGGGCCAGACTATGCGTATGCGTAGACGGTAGACGCAAGTGAGAGGTGGCGTACCGTCTTACTGCATGCTTGGCGCATGCACGGCTCTTGTAAAGGCCTTCTGCTTGATCACATAACGGTTATTCGGTGCTGGGCGCAGCCTGCTGCATGCTCTGTCGCTGTTCGCGCATACGGTCCAGCCGCTGTTGATGGTGGCGTTGGGTGTGCTTGTGAGGCGTGCTTGCTGCCCAACGGGGGCGGCTGAGGTTGTGCGTGTGTTGCTTTTGAGTTCTTGGTGTTGAAGCTTGGTTCAGAAACCTGGTCTAGTGCTTACAATGAGGGGCAGTGAGGGGTATTTCTTTTTGTAGAAAGTTCCCGGTTATTCGTATGTCTTACCTGGGTGTCTCAATGTTGTCATTGATTTGAGACCAGTTAACAACTTATGTTGAATGTCCCTGATAATGTAAGTGGTTTGTTCGGAAATGCTGAATAAATTAGACAGGATATTTGGTAGGTCTTCGATACGAAAAAAAAAAAAAAAAACCCCCCCATCGAGCACTCTAGCTTCACTTGAGCTAGCCAGCTGTACGCAACACCTAAGTCTATAGCAAACGAGAGCCGATCTTCAAGGAACAACAATGCTCTATAGAAGAATATGTAAAGGCAGTTTTAATGTCTTCAAGTTTTTACGTTCCGAGCGACTTGACTTACTTTCATTTTTTCGAAGCAAGCCCACGAAAAGATACGAGGGGCCATGAACCTACTTGTATTTGCCCTCATCATGCAAGCGTAGAAACATTTATGTCTACTGAAGCACTAAACATCGACCAAATAAAAACTTTAGGTCTTCAGGATGAAATCTGGCTTCTCCACGAAAAGGTCATATTACTGCCATGAGACGGGTGTTTTTGACCACACGTGAAGCCATCCATGCAGTTGTGAATTGGCCGTGGTGGGGTTGCTGGTCCTCAGCTCAAAGACACAAAGAAAGTTGAGGGGTCGAGAGACTTCATGTCGACACAGAGAAAGAGAAGACAGGTGAAGCTCGCTCCTTCACCATGGACAGATTAACACGCTGCTCTTTCAACCCTCACCGTAACCGGTCTAAGCGCAGAATCCTAGCAAGAGCACAATTGTTAGGACCCCGCTGTAAATACATAGCTCCTAGAGTGAGTCTTTTGCACTCTTGAGAGAGCGTGAGGGGGCCAGCCTACAACACTACGGCGCGCACGTCACTATCCAGCCCAGGTGGTCCAGCTCGAAGACGCCACGGGCAACACGGCAAAGCTACGCGCGCCTAGCTCCACTGGGTGTGCGGCCCCCACGTCAAGACGATCAAGCATGTCGTCCTACGCGTGTTCCCCGCGGCGTTGATTTCCCGCAATGGCGAGGTAGGAGCTCTTAGCCCCCATCTGGGAGAAGCGGGTGAAGGGAGAGAGCTGGGGGCGGAGAAAGTGGCAAAGGAGTGCAGAGATGTTTATGCGGGGCGTTCGCGTGATGGTGATTTTAAGAGATGATGAATGATGAATGGAATGATGAATGCAAGCGACGCGTCCCGCGCGATCCGGAGTTGTGGCGGTGCTACATACATACGTGGGCCGAGCGGGGCAGAGCAGATCGCAACAGGGCCTGAGAGGGCTGAGCTCCCCGCCGCTGGGCCGTCAGCGCCTGCTTTTGGTGCGCAGCTGTACATAACGCCTTCCTCCCTACCCTTCCTTCTCTCTCCAACTTGCGCTCCTTTTGCCCAATTCCCTCTCTCTCTCATCTCTCCAACTCATACTCACATACATCTCTCTCATAACCATGGGTGTAAGTCCTCGCAGGCAGCAGCAGCTGCTGCCCCTCGTACCCCGCCACAAGCCCACGTCACAGGGCCGCGTCCGAGGCTGACCTGCTCGATAGCTCGCATCCAAGCTCGCCGCTGCTGGGCCGCCTCCCGGCCAGCAGCAACAACCTGGCGGCGCCTACGTGAGTTAACAAAAAAGAGAAGTCGTTGTCGTCGTGCAAGCCGACTGACATAGCTGCCCAGCCTGGCCAAGCCCAGTATCAAGCGTATCCCGGTGCTCCCGGCGGTGCTCCTCCTGTAAGCTTGTCCCTCTGACTTTTTTGCGCTGCGCGTCCCTTCGTCATCACCCGGCATCTCTCTTCCGTGCTCCTGCATCTGCCATTTATTACTTGCGACCACTCTCCCGGACCTCTGACCGGATATTCTCGACACGTCACCGTCACCTCACGCCCGACTGATCGCGACATGTCTGGTTATCAGGCATACTCTGGAGCCCCGTCTTACGGTGCACCCAACCAGCAACCTTACTCGGCTCCTGCACCCTACTCGCCTGCCCCGCAGCAGTCGCCCTACGGTCAGCCACCGCCGTCACCCTACGCCCAGCAGCAGTACGGCGGGCAACAGGCCTACAACAGACCTCCACCACCCCCTCCGGCGTCCACGAGACCCGGTGGTGGCTTCTCGCCTGCTCCATACGGTCAAGGTCCACCGTCGCAACCCGGTTACGGGCAGCAACCACCCAACCCGTATGGACAGCCTCCACCACCGAATCCCTATGGACAGCCCCAGCAGCCGAGTCCCTATGGACAACCCCCGCAACCTTCATACAACCAAGGACCTGGATTCGGATATGTTCGTTGGGCACATTCACATGCACATTTGCGCGGAAATGGATGGGCAATTGCTAACAGGGGGTTTTTTTTTCTGTAGGGACAGCCCCCGCAACAGTATGGCTCTCCGGCTCCAGGACAGGCGCCCTACGGCGCTCCTCCTGGCGGTGCTCCTCCCGGACAGGCCGGCCCCGCTCAGATCCAGGCCTTCAAGCAGACCCTCATAGCTGCCATTCAAGAGAACCACCTCCAGAACTTCTACCCTCCCAACTCTCCTGTTCTGGACCAGATCGCCCAACGCGCTTCCGCCCAGATCCCTCAGCTCTGCCAGCGCTGGCGCGTGCCGCAGGAGATTGGCAACGATGTCGCCAAGCTCGGCCTCTTTGATGTTGTTCTGTACATCGACGACAGCGGCTCCATGGCGTTCGAGGAGAACGGTGAGCGTATCAAGGATCTGCAGATCATCCTCGAGCGCGTCGCCTTTGCGGCCACTCTCTTCGATGACGACGGCATTTCCGTCCGTTTCATGAACTCGCTGCCTCCTCCGCAGGTCACGGAGCACATCAAGAACGACCAACAGATTCAGATGCTCATGAGCCAGATCCAATTCAAGGGTCTTACTCCCATGGGCACGCACCTTAAGGAGCGTGTCTTGGACGAGATTCTCCGCAACGCGCGCGGTGGTCAGCTCCGCAAGCCTGTTCTCGTCATCACCATCACCGACGGTCAGCCCGCCGGTGAGCCCCAGAATGCCGTCTTTGAGGCCATTAAGACCACCACGTCCGAGTTGGCCCGCATCCCTCAGGTTGGCCCTGGTGCCGTCCAGTTCCAGTTCGCGCAAGTCGGCAACGACGAGAAGGCGCGTGAGTTCTTGTCCAAGCTTGACCAGGACCCGCAGGTCGGCAACTTGGTCGACTGCACTTCCAGTAAGTCTTGACGTGGTCTCCGCAGCTGAAATCAAACCGTGCTAAACATTCGCAGACTACGAGAACGAGTCCGCCGAAATGGCTCGCGCCAACCCGCCTGTGGACCTGACTCCCGATCTCTGGCTCGTCAAGCTCCTGCTCGGTGCCATTGATTCGTCCTACGACCGCAAGGACGAAAAGGCCGGTGCAGGTGGCCCGCCTGGTGGACCGGGCGGCTATGGCGCTCCTCCTCCGGGTCAGTACGGCGCACCCCCGGGCGGATTCGGTGGCCCTCCTCCCGGCCAGTACGGCGCGCCTCAGGGCGGTTTTGGCGGTCCGCCTCCGGGCCAGTTCGGCGGCCCCCCGCCCGGCCAGTACGGTGCTCCGCAGGGTGGACCTCCGGGTTACGGCAGGCCGCCGCAGCAGGGAGGCTACCCGCCCCAGGGAGGTCCCCCTCAGGGCGGCGGATACGGCCGCTACTAGTGTGGTAGCGTGATGACGGGCACTCGAACAGAGTCGCTCGGTGCGCAGAGGAATGCTCGGAGATTGTTATACCTTGTCGGGGGCTTTGGTGGTCTCGGCTGTGCGGCGGCTTGGTCATGACGTATGATTCCTATCACTGCATGACAGTTTAGAAATGAAAAAAAGATTCAGAGAAGTGGTGTTTTGATGTGATGGTATTAGTACTATTCAACCTTGGTGACTGTCTACTCATTATCCGGGTTACTGCGTGCTATCTGGACATTCAACTTGATTTAACAGAGCGCAGTACACGTGCAAGAGAAAACACTGGTTTGGACTGGGACATCCGCATCTCGTGGAAGCATGCATGTCTCCAAAGCAACCGACAGTGCCTACGCATTCTGCGTAATGCGGGATCATGGCCCATGAAATGAATCCCACCTACTGCATGCGCTAATTGCTCAAGCAGCACAACATATGTTATAACATACCAAAAAACATAGGTAGCGAGCAAAGGAGAAAGAAAGAAGGCAGCAAGCAGGAAAACGTCCAACGAGAGGCCCACCACCCACAGGGGGGAGAAACGAGTAAGCTAAAAAGAGGAATGCGAGGAAAAGTGAGGGAGGTAGCGAATAGGTAGGTAGAGGCGGCTAGGACGGGCTGAGCGCAGACTGTGATGGCGTTGGTCAAGCTAAACTTGGCAATCATCCCGCGGCCACGGCCGCGCACCTAGAACGTGTATGTGCGTACGTGTGCATGTACATGCTGACGACGACTCGCTGGGAGGGAGGGAGGGTCGAACTAGAACTAACTTGGCTGGTCGGGTCGAGGGAGGCGGAGCACCAGCCTACGAGGTGATGACGATGGCGATGGCGTGGGAGGTACGTGCAGACTGCAGGTGGAGGCGGGGACGGTGGTGGTGGTGGTGGTAGTGGTCTTGCTCGACGCGCAGCGACAAGTCCAGTCATCCATCCAGGCGTCTATCTCTTTGCTGGCTTGCCCTTCCTGGTCAGGCCTTCCTTGTAGACGGGCGTCTGGATAGTCGAGCTACTGTCTGTGTCTATTTGAGGAGGAACAGCCTACCAGAATGGTACGTATGTGCTGTTCTGCTGCAAGTTTGAGAGCGGTACGAGGAGCTGGGGGAGAGCTAGTGGTGGCGATTGCGAAGAACAGGGAGAACGAGGCAAACAATGGGACGGTTGCGTGCTTAATTGAATATCAACATTCTTGTTCCAGACAAACAGATAGACAGGTACCCAACTTACCAGTGCGAACCTCAGATACTTCCCATCGTGTCGGACTTCAGTCAAGAGCTGCCACAGGTTAATATGCATATCTGTACCCGGAGCACTGTTGGCTTACTTTCGCCACGCACGCCATCTCAACAACAACGACGAGGACCATCGCGAGGCTAATAAAAGAAGGAACGGCCGCTTTGGAACCTCATAGCCATCTTTTTCCAGATCGAACAGCTTGTCACCCTAATCCTCCTTCTCAACAGCCGGGAAACACGACTTGCGGCCTGTTCGGGATCAGGGGAAGTGCTACTCGACAACAGCGCGCCACGACACGGCGTCAACGTCGGACCTGGCGCCGGAGAGCCCCAGACCTGTCTGAGAATCAGCGTTCTGCAGGGTCGAGTTCCGCGGCAGGACTTGCCTTTGCGAACAGCCTGGCCTCGACGTAGGCGGCGTGCGCGATGATGCCCGCCACCGTGTCGCCCCAGATAATGACGATCCGCTCCGCGCGGCAGAGGCAGATGCACATGTCTATCCGGATGTAGGATGTCCCGGACGCGATATCGGCTGCTGAGGTGACGACGGGCAGCACAAAGGCCCCGTGGGGGTCCAGGGGAAGCTCCGTCTGCAGCGGCGAGGTATGCGAGAGCACGTGCCCGACAAACTGCGAGGACATTGTGAACGCGACAGTGGCGCCGAGCGTCTCCACGGCCTTGTAGACGCCCTTGTTGAGCGTCATGGGCTCGGCGGTGTAGACGCCGTCGGGCCGCTTGATCATGACGCCGAGGTGGTCGGTGTCGCCGTCTACGATGCCGTGGTCGTCTTCGGGCGGCTCCGTCCAGTTTTGCTGAAGGCATCTCTTGTAGAGATACTTGACTGCCTGTGCGGAGTTGTTAGCCGTGCTCGAGGTGTATAGCAGAGCCTACGCACGAGAGTATGGAGATCTGTAGCGCTGGAGCGGTCGGAGGTGATACTGGAAACTTCTGTGTTCTGCCTTTCGTTGACTGTAAGATGCGGCCTGCCAGAAAATCTCACAGAGGATGGAGTGACTGCTGCAGGGGGAAGTGTGAGTACATCCAAAGGTTTTCTGTCAAGGTCTAGAGACTTTAAGGCAGCCATCGCGGCAAACACTAGAAGGTGACCGCCAGTAGACTTGGCTGTATACCTTCTGAAAATATCAGAAGGAGATGAATCAAGTAGAGACTCGACAGCTGGGAAGATTTTTAGCAGAAGAGTGTTCAACAAGCAGGCAAGCTTGTGGGGCAGTTCACCGAATATGTCGACAGCATATAAATTTCGAGTTGCTGTCCTTGGCAGGTCCCTTGTGGCAAACGCCTAGTTTGGAGCCAGATGTACATGCGGCTGAGACAGTCACCTTCCCTGGAAGGCGATGTATTCTAGGCCTCACAATCCATCGTTATCGAGTTCCTCTGACTCCAAGTACCCGCAAGCACCTTCTGTGTAATGTGTTAGTTTGTAGACTTCATGATATAGAGCCGTTCAGGCCTCGTCATAGGTCATTTCAGAATAGCATTCGACATAGCCTAGGGTATGCCGTCAGTAACGAAGCCCGCGGTCATGATATCAAAGTGTCAGGTGCCGAAAGAGAGTCGAGTAGTCAAAACCGGGAGGCGTTATTGGTGTCATGCAGCCTCCCGCTCAACCAAGAGCCTAGTTTGTATTGACCATAGTGGCTCAACACATGAGGCTGGGAAATGCAAAGTTACTGAGTAGAGTTAGTTCAAGGATAAGAAGCGGATTAAAGCGGATATGAGCATAAGTGCCAACGAAAGCTGCCACGTCAATGGCATATCCCGTCACATTCTGTGGCTGAAAACCCCAGACCTCTCATGCCCAATCCGTCTGTTCACATCCACAAACAGAAACAACATGAAGATCGTCAGGCACCTTGCTGTTAATGGCTGTCGGGGCTAAGATGGAAGAAAGAAGAAATATCGTGTCTCGTTGAGTACAAGAGTAGGCTTCTCTACAATCACCCAATACCTACCGGTGTGGATCGCAATACTGTAGGAGATCATTGAGATGAAGCCTGAGATGAATAGAACTTGAACGATGCGGAGATTTTTCCGCTGCCGCTCGCTTCTGCACAAACAAGAGAGAGCGGTAGGGACGGGCGCGTCTATCGAGCAGCTCCCCCTGCAGGCCCGCGCTCTTCAGGTATAGCCCTGTCAAGAACAAGAGGCGACCGGGCGATTGGAAGAGTAGTGCCGTATCGACGGAGGATGTGGAGAGATGATGTCTCAAGCTGGTCAAGTGTGGGGAAGAGCTAGTCCATCCGGGAGAACAACGGCTTGCTTTTTCTCCGCACCCCAGGACCCCGACATCAACCTCACACACCTGCTAAACCCAAAACAACCCCAATTATTAGCGAGATGTGTATGACGACAGGCCCAGGCCAATTTTCATATAAATACCGATTGGAGTTCCCGTCGGGTGGCTGGTTTCAACGCACTGGCTCCCACCAGACCACGCCGCCTCGAATTTCAGGATTTCCATGACCAAGGAAGGGCCTGCTTGCTGCTTGAGGCCAGGTACCGCGCGATTTGCGGGCAGACGCTGCTACGTCATGTTGCTGTGCGCGTGGCTGCAGGACCTAAGCACGGCTGAGAAGCAGCTCGCGCGGCGTCGTGTGGCTTCGGCGCCCAAACAAAATGACAAAGAATAGGCCAATGGCCCGTCTCACACTGACGCCCTGAGGCAGATTGGCGGAATGGTACGACGCCCCAGACGGCTCCACAACCGAGGAGGCTGACAAGGCGCGCGCAACTTTATTGCTACTCAATGCTGTCGGTTTTACATCTCTCCCTGGTTCGGAAATGCATCAAGCTGTGGCTTTCATTTTCTTCAGAGCAGTAACCTTGATTAGGTCTGGAATTTGGGGTTTGCATGGTCAAGCAAAGCAGAATGCCGTGGTGGTGGCTCTAACTATCCAAGCACTACACCTCTGGTGAATTCTTCCTCACTCAGACCATTTACCTACTATTGGTTTTGCTGATGTGTTTGACCGCATCACTGAAACCATCAACCTGGTCCTGCATGGTTGGAAGGCCGAGCCCGGGGTCATACCTGATCTTGCCAAAGGTTTTACCCTTCTATGATCTGGATAGGGATGTTGTTTGCTCCTTTCATTCAGTTTCCTCGGTACTCTTAAATTGGCTTTGATCCCATCCAGAACACCTTCGCTCACCATAATCAGTCTTTGCCATGGTCAAAGATACGTCTTGGTTATCGAAGCTTGCTGGAGGCCGCAAGGCCGGAGATGGAGGAAATCCCACAGTTCCGGCGCCCAACCCGAGCTCCGGCACTGCTGTGGACGCAACAAGCAGCCCAGTGGGACTTGCGGAAAACCTTAGCCCTGTATCAAGCCTTTGAGGAGCTAGAAAAACCAGCCCTCGTCCACCGACCGCCTATTCAGGCTACCAAGTACCGCCCTCCCTTAGGTCATCGAGTCTAGTACAAAACGTTACTCCTAATGCATAACAACCGACTTGGAGGTACAGGCTCCCCGACAGCGGAGGTTCAAAAGTTCACGGCTTAGGCCGGACATTAGTGAACAACAGCGAGGCAAGCAGCCAAGCACAAGTGCCACATCGGCAAGGCTGACGCTCCACAGTACCGTCTCCTATCCTTAGACACCTTCAACGGCATCGACAAAAGCACATGGGACTACGATCTAGATCCAGCGCGGCGGCAACGGCACAGGTTCCTTCGATGGAACGGACAACCAACGACCGGGAGGACGTGTTCGCCGACAACTAGGGCCTCCACATCGTGCAGGGTCAAGGTCGAGGCCAAAATCCCCAAGGGCTAGTGCCTGTAGCCCGCCATCTGGGTCACCGGCGGCACCAGCGGCTTCTTCCCTGACGGCAAGGACGTGCGCGAGACCTAGATTGCGTCGTGGCGGATGGCACGGCGAGGAGGATGACGGTCAAGAGGGCCAGGGTGTGGAAGGGGGGTGCTTGACTGCAGTGGCTCATTGAATTCGGGATACGGTGGTTCGACGTACGGACTAGGCTACCATCGCGAGTACTGCTAGCGGCTATCTCTCCCTCTGTGCGAGACTTCGTACAGTGTGCAGTGTGCACCTCTGCGATAAACGAGGCGTACTCCGCGATAGCACTGCCTAGCCCTGCCCCTCTCGTATAGTACCAGTACCTACCAACCCGGCAGCCACCGGCACACGCTGTTTCTTCTTCTTCTTCTTCTTCTTCTGGGCAAGCGGACGTCTCAGCCAGCCTCCCAACAAATCGTCGTCGCTATCTCCTTATCCGTCAGTCGTAAGCGCACCGAGCACGTATGTACGTAGCATAGGTACCTACCCCTGCCACCTAATATTATGTAGCCCATCTGCGAACAGGCACGCCACAGAGCGAGCGCATCCCGGACCGCGGTCCCATGACCTAGACATGTACCTCGCTGCAGAACACGCCCGGCAGTGCCGCCGCCCCTGCCTGCCAGAGACAGAGACAAAGACGCGCATTGAGCCACACAAGCAGCGAGCGACTGAGTGACTGACTGATCGCTGACCACCACCAGCGGCTTGTGGCGCGAACACGAGGGACGAACGGGTCGACGCGGGCCGCGGCTTGGGCGTGCGGGTCCTGATAGGGGATCCCGAGAGGGTGTGGCAGTCGGAGGCGGAGACGAGGCGAGGCGAGTGTCTCTCTCGCTTCTGCCTGCTGCAGCCCTGCCTCCTCCCCTCCTCCCCTGTTCTCCCCGTGTCTCTTCTCACTCACTCACTCACTCACAAGCAAGCACATGCCCCTCAAGCCACGCGCTAGGCACTGGGTAGAGCGGGACGGTGCCTGGCCCTGGCACTGCTGACACGGCATACATACATGCACATACGGATACATGCATGCATATATGCATATGGCGCGGCGCTGCAGCCTTGCTCTGATTTGCAGACGCCGCGCGCGCAGATAGGCTCGACTATCGAATTTCCGCTTCGAGGGACGCGGTGCCTGAGCCTTGACTGCCATGCCTGCCTGCCTACTATCTTACCCACCACCTATCTACCGCTCACCACCTCCGCACGCTTACCTCGCGTCGTCTCTCTCTACCACTTAGCCAGCCAGCCAGTCCGTCTGACACACGCCGCACCGCGCCGCGCCGTGCCGTGCCGCTTCCTGCTCCTTCTCCGCCGCCACCACAGGCACAAGCAGGCACAGACACACACCGTAGCGTTTTGCCGCACGCGAAGAGAGGTGCCACCTATGTCGCGTGCAAAGCGCGAGCGCTTTCATATCCGCGGCGATGCAGTCAGCAATTAAGTGGCTTCTGTCGCTTGCTTCGCGTGTCAGCCCACTTACTACTCACTGCGTACATTCCTACGCGGTGTGGTGTGGTGTTGATGTCGAGCTGGTGGTGTGGGGAGAGTAGAGCAGAGCAGGCAGGGAGAGCCCGTATCGTATCGTATCGGAGACGGCCGCAGATCAAGCTGCACACTTCCTCACGTCTCGATGGCGCGCTCGCCCGCATACGGCCTACGGCCTGTTCTGGCTAGCTGGGATATACTGCCGTGTCCTCCGCCGCGCCGTTCTTGTCAGACGCTCCAGAGGCGGCGGTGGTGACGGCAAAGGCTTTATACACTGGCTGTGTGCCGTCGTTGCTGTGCTTGTTTTTCCTGCAGACTAAACGCTCCGGCTCCTCTTATTCGAACGGCTTTTGTGGCTGTGGGCTTTTGAACGCTCTGGTTTGCTGCTATCTGCTTCTTGCTTGTGCGATATGGTCTTGTGCGTTGAGGCAGGGATGGGCAGAGTCGTGGACTCTTGCTTGCGCTTGGTTGTGCTCGCTTTGGTTGTGAGTTGTCTATTTATTTATTTCTTGTGGGTTGCGGATTCGCTGACTTTGTGCTGTTGCTACCTGCAGGTTATGACTGTGCTTGCGGCTGGTATGTCGTTTTTGTCTACATGGACTATAGCTACACCTCTTCACTTCAATCTGGGGATTGGCATTGTTGCCGTCCTTGATTTCTAGGATGGTGTATTTTTCTCTTACTCGTTTCTGAAAACTTACTCCCAGAAGCAACCTTTTCTCTACACGATTTTCTTCCTCCCCACGGAGACTCGAATTAACCTCCTCTGCTCATGCTAAACCAAGAGCATTATTTTTCTTCGTCACTGTTACAATTGATTACCATATCTGCTCTACAACCTGCAAAAACAATCCTCATATTCACTACCTCCTACGGGTTCATATTTCTTTGTTACTTCTATTTCAATCTCTACATTTTCCTAGTTCATTGTCCTGATCCACACCAACCACAGAGCCATCCGATGTCCAGCAAACTACTACCCCAACCTCGTCAACTGCAAAGGCATCTGTTGCCGCCGCAACTTCAGCTTCGTCGACTCAAGCCGTCTCTACTGTAGTACCATCATGCCCCGCCTCAGATGGTGTCGTTTACCAAATAAACACTGGCTCTACATTCCTCATTGAATGTGGAATAGATCACTACGGTGGTGACTTGGAACTCAGCTACCCTGGAAGCTTCGGCGCTTGTATCGCAGCATGCGATAACAACCCTCAATGCGTTGATGTTGCCTACACCGACGGACCTTGCTATCTGAAATCTGCCCTTGGAGGCGAGAACACCAATGCTGCCGTATGGGGAGCCAAGCTTATTGCTAGGGGCACTCCAGTGTCTTCATCATCCGTAGCGTCAGGTTCAAGCTCTATCGGCTCAGTGACAAGCTCCATCGCTACAAGTAGCACCAGCCCAGTCGCGGCAATCCCTACAGGCTGGACCTACCAAGGATGCTACATTGACAACGCCAACGGGCGCATCATGATGTACGCGCAGCCCGACGACAGCAAAAACACAGCAGAGACATGCATCGCAACGTGCATCGGGCTCGGCTACACCGTCGCAGGGACGCAGTACGGCGTCAACTGCTTCTGCGACAACTACATGCGCAACGGGGCCGCGCTCACGGCCGACGACGACTGCAACATGGCCTGTCCCGGCAACACGGCCGAGAAGTGCGGTGCCGGGAACAGGATGAGCGTCTATTCCAACTCCCCGCTCAAGATCTACGAGCCGCCTGCTGCGCAGAACGCGAGCTTGCCCGGCTCGTGGGAGTACGTGGGCTGTCTGCAGGAGCCGACGGACGCCAAGGTCTTTCCTTACAAGCTCGTCTTGCGGGACAATAATACTGCGGAAAACTGTTTGAGCCAGTGCTCGGCTTACGGCTTTCCTGCCGGTGGCATGGAATATGGTGTAAGTAGTGGGTTCCACAGAACCAGCTCAGTATACTGAGAGATACCACAGGAAGAGTGCTACTGCGGCGACCCGTCCGATGTCGATGCAGCCGGTACCCAGCTCCAGCCAGAGACCAGCTGCAACATGGCCTGCTCGGGAAACGCCACGTACATATGCGGCGGCGGCAACCTCCTCTCCTACTACAAATGGAGCGGGGACCCGCTCTTCGTATGGGAGTACCCACAAGGTACGGCAGCAGGCGAATACCAGTTCCTGCTGGGAGGCGTCGTAGTGCCGCTGATCACGACGCCCGCGCGCAACGGCAAAGTAACGTTCGTGGAGAAATGGGGCACAGGGCCGGCAAACTCGACGGGGGCGTACGAGCTCGATCCCAGCTTGGCCGATGACTTCGCCGCCGCCTGGCGCGAGATGCACGTCAAGACGGACGTCTTTTGCTCGGCGGGCCTGACGCTGCCCGACAGAGCGGCGCGCCAGATCAACGTGGGCGGCTGGGCCAACGAAGCTACGTACGGCGTGCGCATCTACTGGCCTGACGGCAGCCCCGGCGTCCCGGGCAAGAACGACTGGCAGGAGAACGTCGACGAGCTTTCCCTCCAGATCGGCCGTTGGTACCCGTCAGCCATGATGCTCGCGAACGGGAGCATTCTCGTTGTCGGCGGCGAGGTCGGCTCCAACGGCGCCCCAGTCCCAAACATGGAAGTCCTGCCCAAGCCCGCAGGCGGCTACCTCGTGCAAGCCGACTTCCTAGGCGTCGACCTCTACCGCACGTACCCCTTCCTGTGCGTGCTCCCCAGCGGCGCCGTCTTCATCGCCTGCTACAACGAAGCCCGCCTGCTGGACGAAGCGACGCTGACCGAGACGGCGCGGCTGCCCAACATGCCGGGCGCAGTCAACGACGCGGCAGGCGGGCGCTCCTACCCCTTCGAAGGCACGGCGGTGCTGCTGCCCCAGCACGCCCCCTACACCGACCCCGTCACCGTCCTCATCTGCGGCGGCTCGACGCCCGGCCCCGAAGTCGCCCTCGACAACTGCGTCAGCCTGGCGCCGGACGCGCCCGCCCCGCACGGCTGGTCCATCGAGCGCATGCCCTCACCGCGCGTCGTCGTCTGCATGACCGCCCTGCCCGACGGCACGTACCTGATCCTCAACGGCGCGAAGCAGGGCGTCGCCGGCTTCGGAACCGCCAGCGACCCCAACCTCAGCGCCGTGCTGTACGACCCCGCCAAGCCAGTCGGCCGCCGCATGGCGCTCATGGCCAACACGTCCGTCGCCCGCATGTACCACAGCGAGGCGGTGCTGCTGGACGACGGGCGCGTCCTCGTCTCCGGCTCCGACCCCCAGGACCCCCGCTACCCCGAGGAGTACCGCGTCGAGGTGTTCGCGCCGCCGTACCTGCTGTCCGGCGCGGCGCGGCCCGCCTTCTCGCTCAGCACCGACGACTGGGCCTACGGGCAAAGCGTGACCTTCACGCTCGCGACCCCGCCCACGAGCGGCAGCAGCGTGCGCGTGTCGCTGCTCGGCGCCACCAGCTCCACGCACGGCAACAGCATGGGGCAGCGCACGATATTTCCCGCGGTTACGTGCGCGGGGACCGCGTGCACGCTCACGGCGCCGCCGAGCCGCTACGTCTGCCCGCCGGCGTGGTTCCAGATGTTTGTGCTGGATGGGCCGACGCCGTCGCATGCGCGGTGGGTGCGCATTGGTGGCGACCCGGCTGCGCTGGGGAATTGGCCGGATTTTGCGGATTTTGATGTCCCGGGGCTGGGGAAGCCGGTGCCGTTGGTGGGGGCTGAGAGAGCGGGTGTGGCGGGGAATGGGACGCTGGGGAGGCGGTTTGCCGCGTAGGTGGTTGATGGGTGGGTGCGGGGGGAGTGGATGGTGTTGGCAATGTATGTGTTTGCTCGCCCGTTAGTCTGGTAGTCTGTTTAACAATATACCGCGTACATACGACTGATATGCAGCACACAAGGCCGGCTTGACAAGCACAGCCGTGTCAGTATGGTTTCCTGAAAGCGTTAGTCGGCTCAGGTCAGTCGTCATTAGGTAGTTGGTCAGTAGTGTCTGCGGAGCCAAACTCGACCAAACTGGTACTGTACGGGACAACCATACACTAAACGGAGGAAAAACAAACATAGGCACAAAGGCACACCAGCAGAGCGCAGCCAGACTTCTATTGATGAGAATACCAGCGGCCGCTGCAGGCGCGAATGCTTGAATGTCTCTTGAGGCTGCTTTTTTTTT